TACAAGGAAACTTCAAGTAAAGATAGATAAGCTATGACTCTATTCATTTGTTAAAACCTGGAAAATTATTCGACAAAAGATAGAAATTTTACTCTCTCTCTCTCTCTGTATATATATATATATATATATATATATATATATATATATATAGTATAAAATTATATATAAAAATTATATATATATAATTTTTGTTTTTTAGAGAGAGTCTCACTCTGTTGCTGAGGCTGGAGTGCAGTGGTGTGATCTCAGCTCATTGCAACCTCCGCCTCCCAGGTTCAAGCGATTCTCTTGCCTAAGCCCCCGAGTAGCTAGGACTACAGATGCATGCCACCATGCCCAGCTACTTTTTGTATTTTTAGTAGAGACAGGGTTTCACCTTGTTGGCCACGATGGTCTTGATCTCTAGACCTTGTGCTCTGCCCTCCCTGTCTCCCAAAGTGCTGGGATTACAGGCATGAGCCACTGCACCCAGCCTATACATATATTTTTAAAAAGTCAACCATATTAGTAACAGAAACCAAGGTTGAATGAAGACTATGAAAAATTAATGTGATAAATATATGACATAATTCTTTTGAAAATGGCAAATACTCCGTCCAACCATTTGGTGACTACTGAGTGTGAGGCTGAAGATAAAAGAGTTGTACATAGGTACTACACTTTAGATGGTAGAGTGGTTTCTCACAGGGATTCTGATTAGTGGTTTTGGAACTACTTTACATGAATTACTAGGGTTAAATAAATAAGTAAAAATCTCTTTGGATAATAAAATCCAGATATCTTAGAGTCGGGAAAAGAAGTTTCAAATAATCAACATGGTAAGATGAGAATAATCCTTACTATGCTGGATTAGAATTGTTTTTTAAATCGATGTATTCTCATTTTTTAGCATTTATTATTTATTCAGCTAAACTGGCATTTAATCAATGTCCAATAAAAAGCATGAGGACTTCTTGAGGAAATAATTGATTCCAGGTATGGAGCATGGAAGTACCAGAATACCCTAGAGTATCTTTGGTGCCAAAAGATAGAGAAGGGCTTAGAAGCCAAAAGTATAGGTGCACATGAAAAACACACAGGAGGCAATCTGAAAGAGCTTTCAAAAACCAAATGGACATTTATTCTATTATTTGGGTTATAATCAAATACTATCACTAGCAACAAAAGTGATGGTGACAGTATTTGATTATAACCCAAATAATAGAATAAATATCTATGAGTTCATACTGATATAAGTAAATGAGTGGGTGGATAATTATAAATTGGAGAGGGGACCAACACTTTCAGAAATATTTCAAATAATAAATATAGAAATAATGAGGAAAATGGAATATCACCAAAAAATAATTGCAATAGGCAAGGTCCACAGGTAAATCATAAATTGAGTGAGAAAAACTTTCAAGGGAATGAGGATGACTGCATATCCCCAATGTATCTCCCTTCAAAAGATTTTTTAATTACTGTGATGCTTTAATATATGTCAAAAAAGTCTTGGATACACCATTCTCTATGTGGTGGAATTTAATTTTTCTACCTTTGAATGTGGGCTCATATTAGTGACATGTTTTTGACACATACAATATGGAAGGGGAAAAATAGTAATTTTACATAGGAGAAACTTCCAAGACACCAACTTAACCAAGTGATTAATTTAATATCAGCAGTAATAAGATAATGATATTATATATTTCCTATACTAGTTGATGAAATGCACACATACTCTATTGTACTCATCCCTCAAATCTATAATGTAATGATGAAAAAATTCCACACATCCAAATTCATGAACATCCTGCAAAGTAACTGACCAATATTCTTTAAAAATCTCCAGGTTATGAAAGTCAGGAAAGACTGAGCACATGTTACACATTAGAGGAGAAAAAAGAGATGTGACAACAAAGTGTAATATGGGATCCTGGATTGAATCTTGGACCAGAAAAAGGACATCAGTGAAAAAGTTAAGGAAAGCATGGTGGACTCTGAAGTTTAGCAAACATTAATGCATCAGTTTTAATTTCTTAGTTTTGATCATTGTTTCATGGCTATGTAAGTTGTTAACATTAGGAGAAGCTGAGTGAAGGGAAGAGAACTCCCTGTACTATCTTTGCAACTCTCTATAGATCAAGCAGTTTAGAAATACAAGTTAAAAATGAAGAGGCCTCAAAAATTCTTAACATTACTGATTAAAATTTTTAAAATATATATTGCATTGATTAAAATCTTTCATTAAATGGTATTTCATTTCAAAAGACATAAAATTTTCTCTCCCATGTAAGTGTTTGGCAGATAGTTCTGTTCGCTACCTCTTAAGATTCTGACAAACACACTTTCCTTCACCAAACTTTAGTCAGGTTCCTCTGAACTCTCTTTTTGACCAGGTCCTGCCTTTGGGCCCATTCTTAGGTCTGCCAAGTCCAGTTGTTACTAAGTCAGGTTTATGAGCTGATGGCTGATTACCCTTGATATCTGATCAAATTCCTCATCCCACACGCTCAATATATAATTACCATGACTTGACTTTAGAATTATGTTTAGTTTAGCAAGACATAATTTGATGTCTACCTTTGATGTCTCCTTTTAGCAATTTTTTAATCTACTAACCTGCTCATTCTGCTTGTTGGGTATAAATCCCAGGCTGTCTTTGCTGTTTTCTGAGCTGAGCACCTACCTATTGATCCCTCTCCCTTATTGATATGGTTTGGATCAGCATACCCATCCAAATCTCACTTAGAATTGTAATCTCCAATATTGAAGGTGGGGCATGGTGGAAGGTGATTGGATCATGGGGTGGTTTCTCATGGTTTAACACCATCTCCCTTAGTGGTGTCATGGTAAGAGTGAGTTATTGTGAGATCTGGTTGTTTAAAATTGTTCAGCATCTCCCCTGCTTCTCTCCTCCTGCTCTGGTAATGTAGGACATGCCTGCTTCCCCTTAGCCTTCTGCCATGATTGTAAGTTTACAGAGGCCTCATCAGCCATGCTTCCTATATAGCCTGCATTATTATAAGCCAATTAAACCTCTTTTCTTTATAAATTACCCAGTCTCAAGTTTTCCTGTATAGTACTGCAAGAGCTAATGCATTTATTGTGATAGATTTGACATCTGTTGCAGTACTTCCAAATATTCTTGACTGCTATACCAAGTGTCAGCATAATTTTTTCTTTACCAGTTCCTTTAATTAAGACAGCACAATCAACTCAGCAGCACACTCTGCTAGCCTACAACATAAAAGGCATCAACTAGCTGGCGAGTCAGGTGGCTTAGGGTCTTTTGTCATCTCAGTCCTCCTCCTCCGATGCCCAGGAATCTCCTCATTTCTCCAGAAGTGTTTCCATTTCCACATCTTTAGTAATCCCTTTAGTTAATTCTTCTAGATGTGCTCTGCCTGAGCTCTAAGCCATAGCTCATTGGTCTAGTTCTGATTTCATTCATGTCTTTAGCCTGACAATGACATTCTTTCTTAAATTTGTGCCACATAGGTGGAAATCTGAAATATTATGAATATTTGATCAAAATAATAGTACTATGTAGATTTTTAAATGGATATATATAGGATTTATGGAAGTATTTACTGTGGTGAACAAAGTATTTTACAAATACATTTGTGTGTATGATGGTGTACCCTCAAGAAGACAAAACTAGAATATAATATGTAAGCAAAGAGGGGCCAATTTCATTGTAATGTTGGCATGAGCAAATGGGGCATTAAAAGAAGAAGACAAATGGAAACTGAAGAAAGAGACCCTGTCATTACATAGACAAGATTCTACTAGGAAAACATTGATCATTCTAGAAATCAGCTCTGGTTCCTATGGCCAGAAATATTCTCAGAGAGCATGTAAGAGTTAACACTTCAGAGTTGAATTTTCTGACTCCAAACTGTAGCTCTACAACTTAATAGCTCCCTGTGGTTTCATTTTTTCTTTTGTAAATGGGGACAATAGTAAAACCTGTTGCTGTATGCTTTGGTCAGTGATATCTCCAGTGAATAAATGGGGCTAGGGACATGGTAGCTGTTCAGTAAATATGAAAAATGAAAATATTCTCTATTGGTTCAGTGAGCATTAGTTATGCAATAAAACAGTGTCTGACTGGAAATACTTTCTACAATTTAGATATTTTGTTCCTGGATTTTTTTTTTTTTTTTTTGAGACTAAGTTTCGCATTTGTTGCCCAGGCTGGAGCGCAGTGGTGCAATCACCCTCTGCCTCCTGGATTTAAGCAATTCTCCTGCTTCCGCCTACCAAGCTGCTGGGATTGCAGCAAAATTCTACTAAGATTATTCAACACATAAATAATTAGGTCAAGTATTAAAGAAAACATCTTGACAATATATAGGTGAATATCTAGCAGCTAGTGAAGTTAAAAATTACCTCACATGCAACAAAATTAAAAGTTAAGTATAATACAAATAAATGATAAAAATATTTTAAAATTTTAAGTCTTTATTGGTTTAAATAATTTTTAAGTATTCACTACTTAGAGATATAAAGTTTATAAACATTAGATAATGTTTATAATTTTTTAATTTGCTTATGTAATTTCATATATTACAATTTATATCAGTAAATTACATTGAAGTCCATAAGCAAATTTAGTTATAAAGTTAAGTTGAATTTGAATAGATTTTAAATTTAACTTTTAGCTTAAAATTTTCACTTGGTTATTTTTAACCCTGTATTGAATAAAAAAATTAAATGTTGTGCTTTTTGAGTATAGATATATACATATAGTACACAAATAGATACATATTATATCTGTGTTATTAAATTTTCATAGTGGGTTAAATTAAGAAAAAAGTATCTAAAAAGTCCCTGGGAACAAGATGGGAGAGACAATATTGAAAAACAAAACAGTTGAGAAACACTGCTCTAAACTCATGTAAAGAGCGAAAAGGAAAGAAAAAAACAGAAGTGGAAAGTGGCCCAGAGGCAACAGAAAATGGAAAATGGCATGTTCCCTATTTAAGGCATTTGGACAAAGCAAGACCTTCAGAGAACATAGAGCCCAAGGTTCAGATTCATCCATCTCAGCAAGCCCAGAAGCATCTGCAATATCTACTATGGCCTTGCCCTTTCCTTCACTGATGGCCCTGGTGGTTCTCAGCTGCAAGATAAGCTGCTCTCTGACCTGTGATCTTCCTCAGACCCATAGCCTGGATAACAGGAGGACCATGATGCTCCTGGCACAAATGATGAGAATCTTTCCTTTTTCCTGTTGGAAGGACAGACATGACTTTGGATTTCCCCAGGAGGAGTTTGCTGGCAACCAGATTCAGAAAGCACCAGCCATCTTTGTCCTCCATGAGATGATCCAGCAGACCTTCAACCTCTTTACCACAGAAGACTCATCTGCTGCTTGGGATAAGGACCTCCTAGATGAATTCTGCACTGAGCTCTACCAGCAGCTAAATGACTTGGAAGCCTGTGTGATGGAGGAGGAGAGGGTGGGAGAAACTCCCCTGATGAACATGGACTCCATCTTGGCTGTGAAGAAATACTTCCGAAGAATCACTCTCTATCTAACAGAGAAGAAATACAGCTCATGTGCCTGGGAGGTTGTCAGAGTAGAAATCATGAGATCCTTCTCTTTATTAAAAAACTTACAAGAAAGATTAAGGAGAAAGGATTAACACCTGGTCCATCATGAAAACAACTCTAATTGACTCATATACCAGCTCACACTTTCATGAATTCTGCCATTTCAAAGACTCTCACTTCTACTATAACTATGACCATGCTGATAAACTGATTTATCTATTTAAATATCTATTTAACTATTTATAAGATTTAAATTATTTTTGTTCATATAATGTCATGTGCACCTTTACACTGTGTTTAGTGTAATGAAACTTGTTCCTTATATTTACTCAATTAATTATTTGTGTTGTTCATTAAACTTTTACTATAGGAATTTCTTGTATGTGTTGATTCTTTAATATGAAATTCCTGCCTTACTGTGCAACCTGATTAGAGAATAAAGGGTATAACTTATCTATTCATCATTATTATATGCAAGATGTAAGTACAAATGACCTTTCACTAAACCAGACTGTATTCTGTACTCAAGATATAAAGATGAACATAATAATCCACTTCCTATTCTCTTGCATATTTGATTTTTGTATAAAATAAAACTAAAAATACTAATCATACTTAATATCAGTTATCCTAAATAATATAAAGAGAAAAAGAAACAACCAATGATTTCTTTCAGCAGCAGTTAATCTGAGACATGTGAGGAAATAAAAATAAACACAAATATCCTCTACAAGTTGACTGGTAAACATCTAGTAGAAAAGTCTATTGCCAGTTGGATACATGAGTTTGCAACTTACAAGGAATGCAATTGCTGGGGGTTCATATGTGGCAAGCAAAATCCCAGAAATGGAAGTGCTCAAGTGTAGATAGAGTGTAGAGAAAAAAGAACTTAAGCATGATTCTGAGAACCTTCCACCTTTAAACGGAGGAAAGAGAAGAACCACAAAGGAAACAGAGGTGGGGTCCCTTACATTAGATGGACAAAAAGAAAGAATGGTGATTAATATGGTTTGGATCTGTGTCCCTGCCCAAATCTCATGTGGAATTGCAATCCCCAATGTTGGAGGTAGGGCCTGGTGGGAGGTGATAAGGTCATAGCTGTTTCTCATGGTTTAACAACATCCCCCTTGGTCCTGCCATGGGGATAGTGAGCTCTCATGAGATCTAGTTGTTTAAAAGTGTGTGGCACCTCCCCCTACCATTCCTTTTGCTCTGGCTTTGCCTTCCGCCAAGAGTAAAAGCTCCCTGAAGCCTCCCCAGAAGCAGATGCTGCCATGCTTCTTGTACAGCCTGCAGAACTACTTGGCAATTAAATCTCTTTTCTTATACATTACCCAGTCTCAGGTATTTCTTTGTAGCAGTGTAAGAATGGACTGATAGTGTGATAAAAAAGTATTTAAGAAGATAAATGTGCTGGGAAGAAGACTCAGTGGATTTACTAAAGGTAGGGATTAAAACTGCCCAATAATTAGGAAATAAATGGCATTGGTGATCTTAGTGAGAGAACTGGTTTGGTGGAAATGATAAGTAGAAGTCAAACTGAAGTGGAGCCAGATAAAAGAAGTTAGTGACTCTGAAGTGAAGATGAAGTAGAATGGAATTAGAAAATAATGTGGATTTTTGTTTTCGTACACAGTTTTTTCTTTTTTGCAGTATATTTTTTCTGGATAGATTTCATATAACTGGTAAACCATGTTAATAGGTTTAGTATATTTATTTTAAATTATAACATTTAATTACCATAATAATCATTTTTAAATAAAATACTACTTTGAATATCAGTAAGCTGCCATAATTCTCTAGGTGAGAATAGATAACTAATTCAATTCTTCATCACAATATTTAATTAATACTGATAATATAATGATTACTGCAACTACTGGCTTTATTAATTAAGTTACTTAACTTGCATAATTGTCACACTGGTTTATTACAATTTTACTGCAACTTTTAACACATTCCATTTTCTGGCAGAGCTGGTTATGGTAAGAAATCTTTTATATTCATTCTTGGTAACATTTCCTGATGTTATGAATTTTACAATCTTGTGTCAATCCAAATTAACTAAATTATCATTGACATAAAGAATGACAAACTTCCTTCACAGATTAATAGTGAAAATTGGATCAGAGGTTCTCTGCCTAAATACTTAAGAAAAAAAAATGGTTAAAACCAGCTGAAAATACAGCATGAAACACGGAAATTCAGAGAGCAAGAAAGAGTTGTGTAGAATTCAGAAGTAAAAAAAAGATTTAACCATTATAACTGAAATCCAGAATACAAAACTGACAAAATCACCCATAATTTGCATTACATTACGAAGAATATGACATTGTAATTTTATTTGGCTTGCATGTATGTGTGGTATGAAGAAACTCATTTAATCTCTTTGAGCCTCAGTTTTCTCATAAATAAAATGAATTCAAAAAAATGTATATAGTTGTGATAGTAAACATGCAGTTTAAAACACCTACCACAGGCCGGGCGCGGTGGCTCACGCCTGTAATCCCAGCACTTTGGGAGGCCGAGGTGGGTGGATCACGAGGTCAAGAGATCGAGACCATCCTGGTCAACACGGTGAAACCCCGTCTCTACTAAAAATACAAAAAATTAGCTGGGCATGGTGGTGCGTGCCTGTAATCCCAGCTACTTAGGAGGCTGAGGCAGGAGAATTGCCTGAACCCAGGAGGCGAAAGTTGCAGTGAGCCGAGATCGCGCCATTGCACTCCAGCCTGGGTAACAAGAGCGAAACTCCTTCCCCCGCCCCCCAAAAAAAAAAAAAACACCTACCACAGTATCTTCCACCACGTTGCCCGGCCAACATGGTGAAACCCTGTCTCTACTCAAAATACAAATATTAGCTGGGTGTGGTGATGAACACCCATAATTCCAGCTACTTGGGAAGCCGAAGCAGGAAAATTGCTCAAACCCAGGAGATTGAGGTTGCTGAAAGCTGAGATTGCGCCTAATTCAAGGAGTTAAAAGATGATAAGTATTTTCCTCCCTTTCTTCATATAGCTGTAGACGAGAATACTATTTGTCTTTCTATAAAATTTTTACAATCTGTGGTGTCATACTTTTCAGGAATTGACCTCCAAAGGAAGCACCCTAAAAAAAAACAAACAACAACAACAAAAAAACAAAAACAGATTCTGTCATCAACTTTAGAGAGCTTGAAAAAACGTCACTCCTCAATTCAAAGTGTCCTATTTATATTCAGTCAGGAAATGGCGGCTTGTATAAATATGAGACAGGAGAATAACCATGCCGATTGAGGTGCAGAAAACACGTGGTGTTTCTTGACTGATTATGGCACCTGACACATTCTCTCCCTGGCTTTACTCCCTTCACCTTCCTGCCCATTCACACAGAGCTGTTTTCTGTTCTGTTGTGGTTTCAGCTTGATGGTTTCCCTTAAAATCAGAATACCACAAGTGCTAAACAGAAGTGAAATAAAATTTCTAGGTTTTGCAGAACTATCTGCAAGAGAAGCTTTCCTGAATTTCTGTTGAGTATGATGTAATAGTAGCTTGGTGAAAAGGAAAGAGAAAGCAGAATCCACTTTATGTGTAGTCTCCAGAAAACCTCTCAGGGGAAGATAGTCCTAGTAGCCAAAGGTGACAAGGACAGCCAGCAAAACTAAAGGGCCAATTTCTGGTCTATGCAGAAACCCTATCACTTCTGGGTATTTCTCTTTATGCTGCAAAATACATACTTCTTGGCAAAAAGAAATGCAAATGCTGTCATAAGCCTGTTCCTTATCCTTGGTCTGTTACAAAGAGAATCAGTTTCTGGCTTCAGTCAGGGCATGAACTCCTTGGGATTGACAGTTATAGGGGTAGAGAGAGAGATGTACTCCCTGCCTATAGCCTACCGTTCAGACTAGCCTCTAGGATTACCCTCTTCACATACTATATATGGGACTCCAGGGGACAGGCAGACCGATCAATCTCAATTGGAAATTAATAGAATTCGGAAGAAGTTCCTGTCCATTAAACAACTATTAACTATACAATCTTATTTCACAGATTATTCCTATAATTAGTGTTGGGAGCCCTCCCGTGTGAAATCTTGCAAAGTGAGTCTCACAATAAGGGTGGTTTGAGCCTGGATGCAGAGTCCCCAGGAAGAAGGAACTTGAGATGAAAGGATCGGGAATACAAAGGAGAATCTAGTTAATAGATAACCAGATGGACGTGCAGTCATGAGGAACAATGTTTTTATGTAAACATGTATGAGAGTACCAAAAATAATCATTACCCTTTATCATCACAATATATGGTCATCTATATTGTGAATGGTATGTGATTTATCTACCTGTTTTTCTTCTTGCTATGACGTAAATAAGAGTCTGGAAAATGTATATATTCCAAACCTCTTAGAAATAAAGTTGTTGTTGGAGCACTGACTCCTCAATCCTCCTGACCCCGCTTGTCTGTCCCCTTTTCTTCTTGCGCACCCCCCACTCAGGTTGGAATCCTCTTGCTGGTCAAGAGCTCCTGGCAAATTAGACTTCAGACACTAACAAATAAAAGAATATTATCATTGGCATTTTGAATTATGATTTTGACAGTTCTTCCACTTAATAGTAAAAACTGGGCCTTGGTATCAAACAAGAGCGAAAGAGCTAGAGTATGAAAGAATAGTATTGTTACCTGAGGGCTAGTAAGGTTTAATCATTCAAGTAACAATTTTGCTCTATTTTGAGATGCATTTTTGTAATCAGCACCATATTTTCATTAAGATGTTTTAACAGGAAGTCTGTGTGAATTCATGAAGTAACAGCAAGGAAGAACCTCAAATTGCAGAAGAGTCTCTTAAAGTATCCCTCAGACTACATACTGTGATATAGATATATAGATACACACACACACACACACACACACACACACACACACACACCCCTATGTACCTATATGTGTATATGTGTACATACATATGTACATACATGCTTATTATTTTATAAACATATGGTTATTATTTTCTTAGTTAATACATATATGTCGGAAAAGGAACTGAGTGCAGTAGCTCATGCCTGTCATCTCGCCACTTTGGAAGCCAAGGTGGATGAATCACTTGAGTTCAGGAGCTCAAAACCAGCCTGGCCAACATGGTGAAACCCCATTTCTACTAAAAATACAAAAATTGGCCAGGCATAGTGTTGGCTGCCTATAATGCCAGCTATTCGGGAGGCTGAGACAGGCAAACAGCTTGAACCCTGGAGGTAGAGGTTGCAATGAGCTGACATGATGCCACTGCACTCCGGCCTGGGCAACGAGCAAGACTTCGCCTCAAAAAAAAAAAAAAAAAAAAAAAAAAAAAGGG